ATTATTATTATTATTATTAGCTTAACTGTCATTATTATTATCATTATCATATTATTGCTATTTTACTGTCTCACTCGTGTTTAGCATAATCAGTTTTTATAATGGTACACATTCATTCGTGATGATGATAATAATCCTTTATTTGTACTTTTACTAATTCCATCGCCATAATAATACTTATTAATAATGTTGTTATCTTTATTTAGTTTCCATTACATTACTATACTATTGCATGCTCTCCCCTCCTTACCAAAATATCATTATATTAGATCTATTACACTTTTTAAATATTGTTTACAATAATCAACATTATGGACAATAAACAATTATGTTGTAACATGTATCCTCATTATTCCTTGAATATTTTGCCTCTCATCCAGGTAATCAATTGGACTCAACTGGAAGTCTAGTCATTAAAAAAGACGATGAAACCTTGACCTATAAGTTTGGCGGGAGCCGTTCTTAGGTGAAAAGCTTCACTTGTTTCAACAGTTGATGTTTTGCTTTATCTAAGCCACTTTAACCCACAAACTTAACCCTAATTCCCTCCTCCACACACATATTATATATTTATGTAGCTTCTGAAATTTGGCCAGGATGCGATGAAATAGCACTCCAGTACAATCCATGTAGTGGCACTGGTTTCTGTAATGCAGAGAACATGAAAGCAAGTTCAATAAAAGTAATCGCCACATTTGATTTTGACTGAAAACTTTAGAGGCTCTGAATTGGTTGCAAAGTTTCAGGAGATGGATCCATATCTGTGGTGTTATGATCTGGCACGGCATTAATTATCGTTGGACCCTGGAGATGTGAGTCTGAATGCTGTGTTGGAAAGTTATTTCAGCGAGTGTCTCCGTCAGTCTGTTGGACAGCTATATCTCATTAACCTTGGATTGAAACAACCCATATCCTATATTGTCAAGATTATGTCGATGTGCACATAAAACATAAATCTGCTCGTACCTATAATTGTTTAAAGCATCCTTGTGACCATCTCACCAAAATAAACAACGAATACAAACTGCAACGGCAGCTACAGCAGCAGACGAATGGATTCAAAAACAGCAGTGGAGTTCGTAGAGTACCAAAAGTGGGTTTCTTACTCACTTATCACACTGGTTCTGCTTGGACTGGATACTTGTTCGCTAGTATTGTATTTTCGTTTTCTGTTGTGTCCATTGCTTTTGGGGTTAGTTTGGTTTTGATATTTCAGACTTTGCGCGCTTGCGCCGTGTGTGTGTGTGTGTGTGTGTGTGTGTGTGTGTGTGTGTGTGTGTGTGTGTATGTGTGTGTGTGTGTGTGTGCGCGCGCGCGCGCGCGGTTATGTTTTGTTTTGTGGGATTTTGGGTTTTTTTGGGTGTTTTTTTTGCTTGTTAATTCTTTTACTTGACCGTAATTATAATTTGGATCTTCTCCTCATTACTAACGCTAACTTGGCGCGCCTTTGGATGTTCTTCAGGTAAAGTATAGACTACAGCTGCGCTTACACAAAGCTTTACCAAACCGAAACCCACGGGAACACGGTCCATTTATCCATAGTTCTTTACATAACACTATTTTCCTTTATTTTCCTTGTGGGTGGTTGGAAGGCGCCACTGATAGTGATAGGGCCCAATTCTTTACTTTCCTTCTTTTGTCTCTAGAGCTCTGTCTGTTTTTCCTTTTTCCAAAAAGTAGATCTCCAAATTAATGCTTTCGCTGTCAAAGTTATTCTGATTTCATTGTTCACAATTGTTTGTTGCTGCTGCTGTTGTTGTTTGTTCTGTTTTTATGTAAGACTCAAAGTTGCCAACCTGTCATAGTGAAAGGCGAATACAATAGTTTTGTTTTTGTTTTTTTCTTTTCCAGTCTTCGAATGCTCTATCTGTTGCAGTCATTCTAATATTATTGTTCACAATTTTTGTTCAGACACGTAATTTTTAACTGTCATTGTAAAAAACATATTAATTCGTTTCGTTTTCGTTCTTTTTTTCTTTTCCAGTCTGACAAAGCTCCGAATTTTAACGCAGGCGTGTGGGTCTTTTTGGTAGGTCAAAGTTACTGTTCAGAAAAATAGTATAAAATTACATGCCACTACTTTCCATTCCCACTTCTTCCTCTGCCCCACCCCCTCTCTGATATATATATATGTTATATATATAAAGAGAGAGAGAGAGAGAGAGAGAGAGAGAGAGAGAGAGAGAGAGAGAGAGAGAGAGAGAGAGAGAGAGAGAGAGAGAGAAAGAAAGATAGGGTGGGTGGTTGGCGGGTGCTCTGGTGTGGTTTGTTTCTTCTTTCCTATCAAACACCTATCGTCCTTATCTCCCCTCCTTCTTTTTTTTATGTTTGTTACTCTTTTATAACACCTCTAATCTTCTGGCACTCACATGACCTTATGCAGTTGCGAGCGCCGTAAAACCTCTACTAAAACAAAGAGAAAGAGACAGAAAATATTGCTTTAAAAGAATACAATAATATGCATATATCTCAGTAAACTTGCATATTATTTATTTAGAATTGTTACTTTCTGGATGGATCTTCAGGATTACTTGTTTTTCCGTACATTATTGGTTTGTGAAGCTCAGTGCCTTCATAATGATAATTAATCTAATTCCAGAGTACGAGTTGCAGGATCGAAGATGAAACTTAACAGAACTACGTGACGACTATTTGTGTGTACAAGTTACTTTGCCGAAGTGGAGCAGATGATTACAAGAGGTGACTTGCAATCGTAACAACCGACACAGCGAGCGGGGGTGGGTTTTCTGTTTGTTTGTTTTTTAAAGCAGGAAGGGACAGGCAAAGAGGTTTTTATTGTTCGTCTTCTCAATGCCACGTACTTATAAAACCACATCGAGTGTTGACTCTTACATACTATGTGTCACAACACGGTGGAATCAGGCGCTCGTCAATTTTGGGGCTAATGGAATTATTGACATCATAATATGTTCTGTTCATTTGGCTTGTATTATATGATAAAATTACCCATTTATGAATAATAAAAGCCGAGTTATTGCCAATTGAAGGAGGTTGGGGGCACCAGTCGTCAGAGGTAAATTGACGAGAAATAGGCTGCCAAATTTTTGTGACTATCATAGTTTTGAATTTTCTTCGAAACTGCAAATTTACATTTTTCATGGCTTTCAACAATTTTCGGTAAAATCATCCACACATATTTTTAATAGACAAGAAAGGTGTTGAACTAAAAAATAAGAATTAATGAAAACTGTGCAACGAACGGAAAAATGTTGGATTCTTTGAATTTATTTTTTGACGAAGGCCTGATTTCATCATGATGCCAATTATTTCTTTTTTCAGTCTTCGCTCTGTTTGACGTCTGTTTTGGCCCGTTTGTTGTCCATGTTTTCTGAGCTAAAGCAAACTGACAGAGTCTTTTGGAAAGTCGAAGCCGTGACATTGTAAATAGAATATAACCATTGTTGGGGTATTTATGTGTCAATGGTTGAGGAGCAACATTGCTCTTCCCTGGGCTTTTAATAAACTTGCTTTTAAGGATCACAAAATCTCGTTTGCATTCCATTCCATTCAGAGTTCCGGTTATATTTAACACAGATGTTAACACATCGATTGTTCTTTCTTTTTCCTTATTTCCCCTATCTCTTTGTGTTACAAGTGCCATAAAACTTTTACAAACACCTAACATAACTGAGCTGAAGGCATGCACGTTCAAGACAGAAGCGACAACTTGTTCCTTGTGCCAGGTGGACGGTCTGAGGAGCGGGAAGATTATCGACCTTGACACTTGATCGACACGTCGTGCGCCCGCGCCGCGTCTGTGTGTGTTACTGGCCTGGTCTTGTTAAGTAAGACCCCAGGCTTACAAGAAGAACTGACAACTTTGTTTTTCGTCATTACTCTTGTTTTGGATTTTGGATTTGCGTATTGTACCTCCCACCTCTCCGCCTCTCTTGCTATCTCTCTCT